CTTCTTTCTCTCCGTTTTACTTTGACAGGAACATGCGAATGTGTTACGTTGAGATCCGTACGTGGAACATGACAAGCCTGCCCAGAGCCTTGACCTCAACCCCGTCTAATACCTTTGGAATGAACAGTGATTGCATACCAGGCATTTGTCCATCACTAACGTTCTTCTTGGTAAATGAGCTAAGACGTACCAGGATCCTCCAGCGTAATTGTCCAGATGTGCTCCTGCCGTTGTCCATCTAGTGTTACGAAACTTCACAAAAAAGTAGACTTGGAAGAGTGTGTGTGTGTATGTGTGCGTGCGTGTGTGTAGAATCCAAAGGAGAATACTCGGAGGTGCTGATGAGATTTATCGTCTTTCCTCTTTGATGTTGCGATTGTGTGAATTCTGTGGCGTAGACTTCTTTCTCTCCGTTTTGACAGAGCACTGCCTTGTGTATCTTTCCTCTAATTGAATCCGTCCCTCAGGGCATCGCCGCTTGTTTATACGCCGACACCACCCGAGTGTGCGTTTTGTGTGCGCCCGCATGTGTGTACGGGTGTTGACACTCTTGCAGAACGACGCGTGCATTCTTTCTTTATTGTTTAATTATCACCCCCACAGAGAGAGAGAGAGAGGAAGGGAACGAGGGCAGGCGAGGAAGAGTTATTGATTAAATTAGTCAGATTATACATATTTAATGCTATGCTTTGTCGCCAACTCTCTCACTGCGGCGTTCTTTCCTCTTCAGGATTTATTTTTTTTCCTCATTGCGTTCAGTTTTAAGGCGTCCAACACCTGACACAATCTGCTTTGCACAGCTTCAGCACTTAAATATATTAAAAGGTTTATTGTTTTTTTTGTTATTGTAAAGTGTCCACGGGTGTCTTCAAAGGCGCTTATAAATAAAATGTATTATTATTATTCTTGTGACTGCTAACGTTAGCTACAAATGCGAACCGCTAACATTGACAGTAGCCAAAGACAACCAGATGAATGTGTTGTCAATTTTTATTCAGGTTCAACTTTTATTGTTCTTTCAAATGTCACGATCAATCAAACCTCTTGATGTGAACTGAATGTTTGATGTAACTCACTGAAGCAATCACTTCGCTCCAATGTTAGTCGTGCGGAAGTGAAAAACGACTTTCTGGCATTCCTGACTGAATGATGAGGTGATACATCTTGGTGTTGAACAGTAATGATGTTTTTTCTGCACCTGAATCACCTACCGTGACGTGTTAATTGCACACCACGTGCACTATGAGGATTGTCAGTTATCGGAGTCAAATTATGTCCTGACGCTCCTGCTATTGTTCGGTAAATGTTCGCTACTTTTGGTATGTATTGCCTGTGTTGTATATCCAGCGAGGTCCATTTGTCTAGACGCTTCCACTTTGACAGGAACATGCGAATGTGTTACGTTGAGATCCGTACGTGGAACATGACAAGCCTGCCCAGAGCCTTGACCTCAACCCCGTCTAATACCTTTGGAATGAACAGTGATTGCATACCAGGCATTTGTCCATCACTAACGTTCTTCTTGGTAAATGAGCTAAGACGTACCAGGATCCTCCAGCGTAATTGTCCAGATGTGCTCCTGCCGTTGTCCATCTAGTGTTACGAAACTTCACAAAAAAGTAGACTTGGAAGAGTGTGTGTGTGTATGTGTGCGTGCGTGTGTGTAGAATCCAAAGGAGAATACTCGGAGGTGCTGATGAGATTTATCGTCTTTCCTCTTTGATGTTGCGATTGTGTGAATTCTGTGGCGTAGACTTCTTTCTCTCCGTTTTGACAGAGCACTGCCTTGTGTATCTTTCCTCTAATTGAATCCGTCCCTCAGGGCATCGCCGCTTGTTTATACGCCGACACCACCCGAGTGTGCATTTTGTGTGCGCCCGCATGTGTGTACGGGTGTTGACACTCTTGCAGAACGACGCGTGCATTCTTTCTTTATTGTTTAATTATCACCCCCACAGAGAGAGAGAGAGAGGAAGGGAACGAGGGCAGGCGAGGAAGAGTTATTGATTAAATTAGTCAGATTATACATATTTAATGCTATGCTTTGTCGCCAACTCTCTCACTGCGGCGTTCTTTCCTCTTCAGGATTTATTTTTTTTCCTCATTGCGTTCAGTTTTAAGGCGTCCAACACCTGACACAATCTGCTTTGCACAGCTTCAGCACTTAAATATATTAAAAGGAACAGTGGCAACATTAGGTACATCGAATAAAAGACCTGTATGCACCGAGGCCGTCAAGAGTTATTACCGTATTTTCCGCAGTATAAGGCGCTTCGGAGTATGAGGCGCACCTTCAATGAATGGCCTATTTTAAAACTGTTTTCATATAAGGGGCACACCGCATTAATAAGGTGCATAGATTAGAAGCTGCAATTGTGGCTACAGTTGCGTTTTGCATCCACTAGTTGGAGCTATGCTAAAAGGAATAAAATACAATACAGTTCAGCTTTCTTTATCGAGAGCTTTCATAACCACTGCAGCTGTCACAAAGCGCTTGACAGAGCATTTAAAATACTACGTCCAAGAAATCAGAATATTGATCCATATATTAGGCGCATCGGATTATAAGGCGCACTGTCAGCTTTTGAGAAAATTGAATGCTCTTAGGTGCGCCTTATACTTTGGAAAATACGGTACTTGAATTTTTTTGTTGTCGTTGTTAGCAATAGTCTAGCCATCTAATGTAGCTAAATAAGGTAACCAAAGAGCCCCGAGCAGAATAAGATGTACAAAAAAAAAAAAAGATGGGTAGCTTGAAGATCTTTTATGGCATTTTAATGCGTCCCAATGGGAACCACTTGTTGTGTGATGCCTGGAATCCATGAGGCATTTGTCTGGTCTGACGTCCGAAATGTCTGCCTTCACAGTTTTATGGGATGTGGCGTTGAAGTTTTGAAATTCTTCACATCAGATAAAGTCTTGGGTGACCTAAGACATCGTTCGCGGATGCTAACATGGCACAGGCATCCATCAAGCTTTTTTTTTGTATTTTATTTTTTAAACCATGTTCTTTTTAACCAACTTCCACAATGTCAATTTTGCAGTTTGCACTCCCGAAAAATATGAAACTTGAGTGTTTTTGTTTCCTGTTTAATGATCCCACGAACCCTACCGACTGATCTTTTTAATTGCATCCCTTTGGACTCGCAGCTTCTTTGGCGCTTCCTTCAGTCTGTGACATAATCCCGGGCCGCGTTTCACATGCAGCCATCATTAACCAACCAATGCTCGGTTCTTTGTGGTCATCTCCTCCAATTTCGCCTCCAGACTTGCATCTATTATTCAACATTTGGGTTCAATCTTGTATGAGAGCTACCGTCTATCACTTTCAGGTCCTCTATCAATGTTCGTGGTGAATAATTCTTCAGCTCATGTCTTTATTTATGTCTGGTGCCAATCTTTGGAGCAGGCGCACTCTGTTCAGTGAGGTGTCGTGGTTCAGACAGCAGATGGATGTGAAACATGTCTGGTTAAATCTAAAAAAAAAAAGGCTAGTCTGTGAGAAGCTTTTGTACTTCTATAAACTGTCAGTGTGGATGTAAAATGAAATGTGAAGCAGCGGACTCTAATCTGACTTGTACCCCGAAAGGCAGAAACCAATCAACCTTGACTTCCAGATGCAGAATTATTCAACTGCTTTGCCCTTGTAACACTATCTCCCTATAAACGAAAAAAAAAAAAGATTTACTGTGGAGTCTTTGCCTCGCTTCCAAAAGGAACAGACTTTTCATTCATTTTCCCTGAAAAAAAAATGTACGCTGTATATCTCTCAAAAAATTGTCTCATCTGGTGGAATAAACTACCCTCAATCCAAAGATGACAAAATAATTAGGTACTTGATGATGATGATGTCATGTGTGGTTCCAAAACCTCCCTTTGTCTAATTTTTTTGGCAATTGTCTTTTCAAGTGCATCCTTTAATCGGGTGTGTCGATTTAGATTTAGCATGTTTTCACAACACAGTTTATTTAATTTTTTTTTCTGTCACATGACAAATGGTTTTGTTTTCACTTTTGGCCCCTTTTGGCGGACCCGTGCTGACCCAACGACATTACAGGGCCGTAGGATAAATGAGTAAGTTGTGGCTAATTCGATAAAACACAGTCAGGTTATCGGTCTTTCCGGAACGTTTCTCGATGAGATATACTGTTTAAGTCTGGCTCACATCAACGCGCACTCGCATCCACGCACGCAGGTGACAAACACTTTAATCCTAATGTTGTTAAACTGGGATGATTCACCGCGCTGACTGGAGAAATGATGTATAGTTTGAGCTGCGTTATTGTTCGTGGTGACCACTTGCGTTATTTTTGCAGTTTTATTTTTGGATCATTTTGACAAAGTATGACAGTTAAAAAAAAAAATGCAGTTTTGGAAGATGCATAACATTGTCAGTCAGGGATAGGCAACTTAAATGATGGAGGCGGTCGCAATTCTTCTTAACCGGATGTTTTCAGAGAAAAAAAAAGCTATTAAATAAAATATTTCTCTATGTATAACATATGTGCAAAATACTTGCTCTTGACATATTTCTCTTTTCAGAAGACATTTTTCAATGCATGTAGAAAATATCCGTGCATTCCTAATCCAACAACAAAGTGTTTGATACAAACAAAATAACTACATAATCTAATTGTTTTTGGGGTTTTTTTCCATTGCAAAAGCCTCACATGCATAAAAATTCCCATTCAATGAGGGCACAAACCTGCTTAACAAAAAAAACCATTAAATGCAAGAACTCATTTTGTTCATTAAAAAAAAAACAAATCAACTCACAGAAATTTCGAATATTTAATTTATTATTTAACATTAATATTTAATATTATTGAGGTACTGCGTTTGCCCTGCATAATATTGGAAAGCCGTGACGAATTAGGCCTCCTCACGGTATGAGGCTGTATAAGACCCAGTGTAAACTCAACCAAGACATGTCTGCCATCTAGTGGTGATTGGTGACATTACATCACAATTTTTTTTTTTCCTCTCTTACCCCCCCACTCGGACCACATGCAAGAAGTCTGCGGAGATTGTGTGTAGTGATATCGCCGATTGGTTTCCCATAGCTCAGGATGCCATTTGCGCAAACAAGCCTCCAACAGGCGCGCCTATGCCGAATCAATTAAAGTAATGCGCCGTGCATCAAGTCGACTGCGCATTCTCGAATTCCCAACGCCAGATGCTTCATCATCTTAATCTTTCAGCATGTCATTTTTATTTATTTTTTTAAATTTCACTTCACGCAGGGGCTTTCGTTTAAAGTGCACGCACAGCACCTGAATGCTCGGGCAAAGGTGAGCAATGACTTTCAGTCGGTATCCAAAATCGGTGCGACTTTTCTTTGAGGTCACCGGAACAAGTTTAGGGGGGATGCTTATTTTCGAGGTGTATTGCTTTGAATTGTGTGGGCTGTTGTCAGTCCGTTTGTTATGCTCCTTGACTGATTTTTTTTTTTTTCCATACATGGTTTGAACGAGCGTCAATGTTGGTAATCCTGCTTAACTGTGTCACCTTGGGCATGTTTCATCCCTGTGAGGACATCGACTGCCACTCTGACAGATGTAAAATCCTGCAGGTAAGACAAATTTTGCTGCTCGATCTCTTTTTTTTTTTTTTTTTTTTTTTCCAACGTTGCAAAGTATCATGTCTATTAAGTGATGGTATGTCATTTTCTCAACTCGCCCTGGTACCACATCGAGCAAACTGGGCGGGTTTTCTGCCCAATCCAGGACGCCAAACACTCGATTATCTTACATCTTAAAAAATATTTTATTTCCTGATTCTTCTGTCCAAGACATGCTAGGAGTGGATTTATCCAACAACCTTAAATATTAAACATACCGTGACGTAAACGGAAAGTAGCCAATGAATGAAGCGCCGTGATTGACAGAGAAGCAAGGCATGGTAAATAAAGCAAATACGTCCTATCCAAAGTTTATTTTTTTATTTTTTTTATTTTTGTGGAAAAGTGGGTTCCCCAGTCGGCAGGAAGTCTAAGTAATTTTTTTTCCATCTTTATGTGTGGTGTTATTCACGGATAAAAAACAAATCTTTGAAAATTCTTATCCATGTACCAGGTCTTGAATATCCTTGGACACTTATTCCAGTTGGCAGTTTTTTATTTTATTTTATTAACATGTTTGTACACCACACACATTGTGATAATTCGATTTGATTTTGAGCCTGAATCCCGCTTTCCACGAAAGTCAGCAAAGGCCTGATCATGTCTTGAAAGGATTATGCTGACCGATTATCGATTGGTATGAGATTTGTGGAAGTTATTTTTCCTACGTGACACTACTCGGAAAACTAGTGATTACACTGACATGCAGTCTTTGGGTTCAGGTCAAAATTCCGGTTTCTGAAACATTCAGAATAGCCCGTTTACATGCGTGAGTTACTCCTCTCTACCAAAATGGTAAATGGGGCTCAAGAGAATTGATTTGTGCTTTTAATTTTTTTTTGTTTTGTTTTTGTACAGCCCCGAAGCAGGATGCTGTCGACACCTGCCAGCCGATTTAAATTCCTCATTTAACGCAGCACAGGAAGAAAAATGCATGAGTCAGTGTTCAGATTTAATTTCCTCAAACAAAGAGATGGCGGTGGTAACGCCCCCCCCCCCTTTTTTTTTAATGCATTGAGCATTCTGGCTGGTAAAACCTATTCGATATATCTGGCCTCTGCAACTACTTCCATTTTCATTACGCAGATGGAAATAAACAAATGCTTTTTGTGGAGGCGTTTCCATTAAGTTCTGTCCTGCCTCGCCACTATTGATGGAGGCGTTGTTTTGGGGTTTGTTTGTTTGTTTTGTTTTTTTCCTTTTGCAGATTTATTTTATTAATTGGACGAAAGAGTCAAAGAGAACTGAATGCCCACCGTGGAATAGATCAGCTTGTTACCTGTTCATCTTGTGCAGTGAGCTGATAATGCGCTTGCAAAGTGGTTTCAAACAGATAGATCAGAACAGCCCTCTTTTGTTCTTTTTCGTCGACTCAGCGGGATTGAGCACTCTCATCCCGCATTGAGATCTTCTTTTTAATAATCATGTGAAAGGATTTGGCAGAAAAAAAAAAACACTGTCGTACAGGGAGAATGCGATGAAATCCGTTTTGCTCAAACTTAACATTAAAAGAACAAAAAGATGGTACCGTTGTAAGTGTCGACAGAAGCAGACCGAATTTTAGGAAACAAAATGTTGGGGGAAGTGCTTCACAAAAAAAGCTCACGTGATATCTTGCAAAAAACAAAACAAAACAAACAACAAAAAACAATCAATAAATAAATTCATTTTGAAAATGTCGAAAAAATCATTTGCTTATATTTGCATTTAAAATACATTTAAGATGTCTGTGTCATTTTATGAGGTGGCAAACATCACGTTTTGAAAAGCTTAACAACAAAAAACAAACAACAACAAAAAAAACCTTTGCCAGAAAACATCTGACGTTTTCAAGATGAAAGTTATCCTGCAATGAATACGTCTTCTCTCAATGTTTCTTGTTTTCAACTTTTTTTGTGTGTTGTTTGATGTTTAAATGATGATTCATCTGGTTAAGTAAGCTGAAAAGAGCTGAAATTTCAAGAAGGAGCATTATTTTAGGCAGTGAATTCCTGTTTATTCCCTCAAGAGAGGTGCTTGGTTAGGGTCGCTTGAACCGAACAGTAGCTGGTTTTGTTTTTCCTCTCCTGCTGCAGGCCATTTTTTTTCTTTTTTGCCGTCGTGTGCACTTTCTTCCCTCATCATGCAGCGCTACCTCTCACCGACCTCTCCGTGACCTTGAACACACGCAAATGCGTTCATGTACAGAATCCCGTCATCACGTTCAAATCAAGTGCAGAGAGTTTTAGATATGCTCCTCAAAGCCGTAGGAGCCCTGCACACCATCTAATAGCCTCTTTTACACACACGCACACACACACACGCATGAAGTGCTACCGGCATTAGCGACTCAGCACACTTCCAACTTAAAGGCTGCATTGAAGAGGTGACAAGAGGGCGCGTAATGCTGGCACTCGCTCGACGCGCTGATAACACGCAGTACAGCCGGCTGCCTGGCGAACACGTGTGTTTACGCTTGCTCTCAGGCAATCCGCACACGCATGCACACACGTGGGGTTTGTGTGTGTCTGTGTGGAGTCGTCGGTGTTGGGGCTTAAGAGGTTCACATGTGGAGGGAAGGGGAATGAAGCAATTTGTCCAACACATAATCACATACTGTAAATGTGCTCTGTAAATTTTAATAGAGCGTTTGAAAAGTTACCCAATCATCGGGGGGGGGGGGTGCTGTTGAGAGAAAAAAAGGATAGGGTGGCGATTGAAGATATGAAGTTTGAGAAGCAGGAATAATGCCAGTCTCTCCAAGATGAATCCGATTCAGGCAAAAATAGAGCAGATGACAGAATGTACCAAACGGTCGACTTCAGCGGTCACAAAACAAAAACATAATTTTTTTTTGTTTGTTTTTTAAGATGTTTTTTTTTTTTAATTCAGTTGCTGTTTTGTGTTCTTAATATAATCCACAACAAAATCCCAGTTCCCGACATAAAATGTATGTTGTCCCCGTGGCTGTGTGGGTTTTCTCCGGGTACTCTAGTTTCCTCCCACATTCCAAATACATGCATGGCAGGTTCATGGAACACTCTAAATTGTTCCCCGGTGTGCTTGTGAGCGTGAATGGTTGTTCGTCTATGTGTGCCCTGCGATTGGCCGGCAACCGGTTCAGGGTGTACCCCGCCTATTGCCCGAAGACGGCTGGGATGGGCTCCAGAACCCTCCGCGACCCTCCTGAGGATCAGCGGATTAGAAAATGGATGGATGGATGGATGGATAAATTAAGAAGGTGACATGTTGGGAAGCAGTCTATTTTCTGGTGAATGAGGAATGGCATTCAGGGTCGAAAAACCGGGCAGCTCCATTATGAACAAATGGAAAGGTGACGGTCAATTCAGCCCGGTCTGCATTTTGATTTTCGATGTGCACCAAAATATTATCAAGGCTGTAAACAATCGCCTTCCCCTTTGTGCTTGGCAAAGTTACTGACAATGATATAGCAGACAGCTTTTGGATGTCTTGTTGTACATGCCGGCAAAGGCTTGTTGAATCAATGCCAAGGTGCACTGACTCCGTTCTGGGAGTTGATGGTGACCCAACACCTTCCCAGGACACTTTTCATTTTGTCACTTCACTTAATAGTTTGTCCCACAGCCAAAGTTCAGGCTATCAAGCTTTCACAGTCGTTATTGACGGCAAGTGTCTGGTGAAATTTTACAGGGGCTCCTGTGGTCGACAGGAAGTGGGGGAGGCGGGGAGTGAGGGGGGCATTCCATATTTGGCAGCAGTGACTGAGGTTTGTTTGGAACAAATATAGAAGGATGGGCCTGTGATAGCCGCTCAGACAAAACAAAAGACTTAAAAAAAAAAAAAAAGAAACTGCCAACATTTGTCATTGTGAATGATCACCCCGCCCTCCAATCCAAATGTGTAGATCACTTGTCCTCATTCGGGTCGAGAGTAATTGGAGCCTATCTCAGTTTCGGCGTGACTTATGTAACCGGAAGTTGTTAGCGATCAGCAGTCTGCAATTGCAGCTTGTCATCACAGCTGTTGCGCAATATCTTTTTTTATCGTTCTCATTATTCAAATTCAGAGTTTGTTTCCTGTGCAATTCACTGAGGGCACGGGCAAAGAATAAGAATCTCGAGGTGCCGAGGGAAGCACTTTAAAACGAACGGTACGTGTGAGCTACGATAGTCAACAGGCTGCAAAAGTGCGTTGCGTGCTTCCGTGTCAGGCTGTTGCTCGTCGCGGCGTTCGTTTGTAATTTTCTCGACGCGAAAAGTTATCTGACACGACCCGATCCAAAGAATGACCCTCATACACACTGCATTTGTCGCACCCTCTTAGTAAGTGCGTGCATGCTGGTTGATGGGTATTCAGATTTCCTTACTGGTTATGACTTTATGCATTATGCACATCGTCAGACAGTATGTTCTGACACAGTTTTGCATCTCGGCGCGGCAGTAAATCGACACAGATTTTCCAAAATAATGAATTATATTGTAGCATGGGCTGGATTTGGACGGCCGATCTTAACTCGGGTTATTCTGTCCATAAAATTGTCATTCAAATTCCATCTCTAATTTTTTTGTAAATGTTGCACTCCCAATGTTACCGATGTTTCTGTTTATAGAATTTTTCAGTGATGTTACATCAAATAATGACCTTTTTTTTGGTATGTGTGTGTGTGTGTGTCTCTGCAGGATTTTGATGACTTTATCTTTGCGTTTTTTGCCATTGAGATGGTGATCAAGATGGTGGCTCTGGGAATTTTTGGCAAGAAATGTTACCTCGGAGATACGTGGAACCGCTTGGACTTCTTCATCGTGATAGCAGGGTAAGTAACACCCAGTCAATCGGGTCCCCGGACCGGCATTTTGCGAGTGGCGTGCAGCGTTGCAGCCTGTCCTAGGTGACTTTGGGCACGATGTAGGGTAGATTTCAGACTCGAGATCATTCACACTCACCTTCACACTTCAGGTGCTGAGGGGAAATCGATACCACGCTAGCCGAGCATGAAAGAAACCTCAACCTCAGCAGGCAGGGCCGAGGCGTGCATAGGAGCCATGCGAAAAAGCGATAAACAAACCTAACCAATATACAAATAAAGATAAATAAGTGTTGCATATTGATTTGTTTCCTAAATCGTGATTTTTTTTTCTCTTCACGTGAATGAATATCATTTATTTGTAACAATACACATGAATACGTGAGGTGCTTTAACATGCAACTCTTGACATAAGACGTCCTTGCACATCTTCCTCTTGGGCAACATCACTTCCTGCTGTGCTTTATTCTGTCGAAACTGTGGGAAAATGTCACACGCAATTTATGAAAAGGTTAGAAAGTAACGTTGTGTTTATCGGGGCTTGACAGTAAACATGTCACAGGAAATTAGCAGAATTCCCATTTCGGAGTCTACTCTTTGCCTGGAGTGATTAGATTGTTTTTACACGAATGTGCTTTTTGGATATGCGCGTTTTCAAAGCTGTATTCGCAATAGAGCTGAGCTGCTGTTTTTGAACAGTTGAGATTGTTTTGTTTTGCTTTTTACTCCCATATGAAAGGAAGCCCGGGCATTTTGGAACGAAATTGATGCCAAACGTACTTGTTAATAGTGTTTTCATTTGTTTGTTTGCGCATCGAATGGTGTAAGTGGCGTCCCAATCGATGTCTGTAATCGAGGTTTGGAGTATGTTATCCACGGCATTATCAATCTGACTGCTCCTGGGGAGAGAAAGGAGCACTCCGGGTGTGGGGGAGGGGGGGGGCGGCGAAGGGCTTCTGTGAGAGTACTCGGCGGAAGGGCGATAGATTGGCAGAGAAAAGGAATCGACGCCGAAGCATCGGCTTCATTTTACTCCTTCAATATTTAATCTGGTCTGGTGTGTGAGGAGAGACACCGCCGCAACCGAAAATAGTCACCCGGGCTGTCTGTTGGTTTTGCTGTAAATTAGACACCCCCCCCCCACACCCCACGCCCCATAGCCATTAATCTTTCATAAAAGCAGTGTGACGTCAGCTGTCCTCTTTACTTTCCCTCAGTGTCAATGAATACAGTCGAACAATGCTTCCCATAAATGTGGGCTCACGGATGAAATATTTCCCAGTGAAATGTGCAAATGCACGAGGTGTTGGATGAAGACATTTGAGAGCGTGAAATTTTGTTGTCCTGAATTGGGCCGCATGCACTTGAAAACTCATGAAAACGGCGTGGCCGTGCCATTTCCACTGAAGGCATTTTCTGAAGGGGTCCCGCGAGGACCCCGAAGCTGCCTTCACCTGCCTGAATGGGTTCCGATGTATCTCCTGACTAAAATTGTTTCCACAACTTCTTGGATATATCAATATAAGGTCAAACCTCGGTTTTCGTCCATAATCCGTTCCAGAACGCTGTTTGAAAACCGAATTGTTCGAAAACCGAAACCACGCTCTTTTTAAAATAAAAATGTTTATTGAACACGTCTGCTCCCAATGGAAAGCAACACGAGGAAGCGTCATTTCCTCGTCTACCCGAGGAAGCGTCACTTCCTCGTGTAAGGAAGGCGAGAGGCGTCAAATGGTGCATTCAAGTGCGATCAGTTTGTTCGAGAACCGAAATTTGTTCGTCATCCGAGGCATAAAAAACTCGAAATTTTGGGTCGAAAACCGAATTGGTCGAGAACCGAGACGTTCGAAAACTGAGGTTTGACTGTAAATGATACAAAACGTAATTTTTTTTCCACTGACATGAAACTGAATCGCTGTCATGTGGCATTCATTTCCAAACTGTGATGTAGTCTCATTATAGGAGATGGGGCAAAATGCATTCAACCTGATCTTACGTGTTGTTCTTTTCCCTCTTGCTTCTATTCACTGATTTATCGATGCCGTATGGATCCGTTCCAGTCTTGTTTGGGGTATGCAGAAGCTGAAGGAGACCGAGAAAGTCAATGGATGGGGGCGGGGACACTGTATGGGAGGGGCTGAGAACTTGCGAGAAGGTTGTTTTAACATCGTTCATTTTCATATCTTTTGACCAAATACATCATGCAGCAAGAGTAGCAGGCGCAGTTTCTCCCTTGGAACATTTGTGAAGAGTTCATGTTCGCTCTATGCATGCGTGGGTTTGAACTGAACATTTGGGCTTTCTACCCACAACCCCAAGACATGATTTCTGTGTTTTTTGAAGTGGTTGCGGATGGTAGTTTTTCAATCGGTGTGCTCCAGTTGCATTTCTTTCGCAATTAAATGCTACAGTTCCTTCGCCAGCGAATTGCTTTCCTGTTTGATCCTGAACAGTGACTGCATAGGAAAAGCGCTAGCAGGTTTTACTTCATTGGATGGTAGTTTTTCAATCGATGTGCTACAGTTGCATTTCTTTCGCAATTAAATGCTACAGTTTCTTCGCCAGCGAATTGCGTTCCTGTTTGATCCTGAACAGTTACTGCATAGGAAAAACGCTCGCAGGTTTTACTTCATGATATCCTGCAGCACCTCTGAGTGGAATGACAGTAGCCCGTTTGCCCTGCCAATCTTGCGGTATGGCTCTGTGTTTGGTTGGATTTTAGATTAGTCGTATTTTTCGGTATTTACTAATTGGAAGTTGTTAAAAAAAAAAAAAAAAAAAAGTTTGCTGCCAAACGGCCACCCCCACTTCCATCACTATGTGGGCTGCACAAAGACAGCGTCCGGACTGGACCGCTGCACTTTTCTTTCCATGGGTTCGTCTCCATTAGCAAGATTGTCTTCCAAGTACAAGGAGGTCATCAGATTGGCCGGGCATTATAAGTGAGAGAGTTCAGTTAGAAACATTTTGAAAGCCTATAGAAAGGAAGCTGGTGAAGGGGAATACTCTCCTTTCTTATTTCATTCATCGCTCGTGTGGAATTTTCCATGAAAAATACTTTAATCAATGGCATTTATTTGAAAAATTCAACTCGGGGCGCAAATTAAAAAAGCAGGATGCCAGGAGGGAGGAAAAAAAAAAATCACAAAGGCTTTTTGTCGCAATGCACTAATTTAACATCGCCATGAGGGAAACTCTGCAAGAAGTCCACATGCATAGCAGGGCTAGTCAGAACTGTTTTGAAAACTAAATCAACCACAAAAAAAATGGAGAGATTCGTAAGTAGAGGCACTACTGTAGCCCAGTTCCCCCAAATTGTACGCAATTAGGTTCCGGCTATCCGCCCACTTCAAGTTACCGTCAAGACCTCTGCCCTTTCTATCCCCGGCTCGAGTGGTTAAATATGAAACGATGTCGGTCCGCCGCGATGAAAAGGAGAGTCGTTCGCCGTCACGGCGGACAATATGAGCAGATAAACGTTGGAGTGGCCCGCTCGTGGAAAGTGTTAGCAATGAGAGGATTTCAATCAGATTCAGCATGAAAACACTCCATCTGCCTTCCCCCTCGTGGTTCTTCGTTCCTGCACTTCTGCTAAGTGTCACTTTAGTTTCACATTATCGCGCTTTTATAATCGTATAATCATTACTGTTCCAATATAATTCCTGGAATGTACAGTGTGCACCTGCCAGCCACAATGCGAATATTCTTTTAGATGTAACTTGACGCATGTCATTATCTTCTGTCGTGGCATCAGACGAAAACATACCTAACAATAAAAAATCCTGAAAAATACTGTCGTCGAGTCCAGCAAAATCGAGAGGACTGATGTGTTGCGTGACATCGGGCGTCATGAAGTTTTGAGACACTTGAGAGAAGCGTTTTGTTCTTAAAAATATTTGGCTGAATTCATAATTGACCGCAGGGGTGTTCAACATGAGAGTTTTCCATGGAGCCGTTTCTCTTTCATCGATCCAGTGCTCTTTCACAGATGTGGATAAAAAAAAAAAAAAAAAAAAAATGGCCTTTTTGGTCAAGACAAATTAAGTGCAGTGAACTTGAATATGCTATCCAACAAAGGCACGGTCAGATGCAAAAATGAAGCCAACGCTCAACACGAAAAGAAATCATCACTTATGACATCATGTCTTCAAATAAACATTGCGTGATCTTTAGCGTGCAGCTCGACGAGCCTCAAAAACATCTTACGTGTTAATTTGTACCAGCCACAGCGAAAGATTAGCTTTTGTTCAATAGATTTCCACATGCTATGACTTTGACATAAACAGTGGATTGGAAACTTTTTGCTTTACTTTTTTTAAGTGAGGACGCCGATCGAGAGAATGAACGCATTTTAACATTTATTCTAGCCAGTATTTGACATCCTTGAGTAATTCATACTGAACAAAAATATGAATGCAACACTTATTTTTGCACAATTTTCACAAGCTGAATTTAATCATCGAAAACTTTTTAGATATGCAAAATGCCCATATCTCACAAATGTGTCAAGTGTAGTTTAGTGTTTTTATGAATTTGGTAGACTGCGCTGCACGTCCTTCAGGCTGTGTTACCCTCCTCAGCTGCACTTGGAAATTTTTATGAAGAAAAAAAATGTCGGCTAAATTTTAGACTGCCCAAAAGCCTGTCTTAATTTGTGGCGCAGGTGGCGTAATGCAACTTTGACGTGTTTGATCAAGACGGCGGCAGAGATTTGACCTGTGTGCTTAATGACATCGTATTTCATTCATAAAAATGACAGCTGTGCGGGACAGACTGAATCATTGTAGAAATCACGAAGCGCAAGGCGGTCTCCAGCTGCCCGCGTCGCATGCGCGGAAGTTGTAGTTAACCTGTATGAATGCACTTGCCGCGCATCAATGTCATGCTGCAAAGACCGCAGCGAGACTGTTTCATATCAAGTATGTGTGCATTTTGACCGCTCTGATTTTAACGGATGAGCTGTAAAATCCCCACCCCCACAACGGCGCAGACGCCCTCTTGTGGCCAGTTCTACCCGAGTCTAGGAACATACTCCATCCATGCACACTGTTGGACGAGATTTTGCGCTAGACTTCCCTCAACTTCACCGGGGGAGCATGTGTTGATCAGACTGATTTTTACACAGGTGGGCCTCAGGCCGCCAATCGTAAAAGGCCACTTAAAACGTGCAGTTTTACCACACAGATGCTACAAGGGAATGTGCAAGCGTTGCATTTGTATTTTTGTCCCCCCCCGGTAACTCATTCCTGCTGCACTTGACCAAGCATCTCCGTTTTCTTTTGTCGTCCAAATAATACAAGTATGAATGAACAGTTAAATCTAAACAGACAAGATAAAAAGAAACAGACATCTTGAGAACAAGAGAGGTTAAGTATGAACTTTTTCTGCTCTGCGCTTTGTCGAATTGTGACTGTGTGTGGGGTCACTTCCAGCAAGTGCATTCCAGCTCGCGTTGCCTTTGTTTTATCGGAAATGGATGATGCGCCACATGTTGGCACACTCAGCTGCACTCCCTTTGAAAAGTTTTGGATTCAGCGGTGATCGTTATTTTTACTGTCAGGGTTGACCAAGAAAAATGAACGAATGAATGAAAGGATTAAGAATTCTTTTTATTTTTTATTTTTTTAAGGGCGTTCAAAGTATGTGACTAATCATTTGTTTGCAATAATGTCATCAAGTCCACGACACACTGATATCACCAAATATTTGGATTCATGGGTCATTATCTGGCCGCATGATGAAGGCTTTCCTAATCAGTTTGCTTGAGTCTTTCTTTGAATTGGCACTCAAACGGTGTTTATGCAGACCTCGGAGTTCATTTTACTCTTGCCATCACGTATGACATCAATGAAGATTAATGAGCCCGCCCTAGAAGAATTCATGCAAGCCCGTGACATTACCTCCACTGAGTTTCACTTGTGCTCTGTTTGGAATGGTGAGGAATTCCTTTCTTTCCGTCAACTTTTCACCACTTTCGGAGATGTTTGTTTGTCTCATTCAGTCCTTGACACTCAAGTTTCGAGGCTTGTGTCTGTACCTTTGGGCATATTTGCATCCTCCAGTGTAGCCTTTTTCCTTTTGTTCCTGAAGTCATCGGTGAACAGTAGATTGTGATAACTTAACTCCTTCCCGCTGCAAAGTTAAGTTACAAACAGTTTTGAGGGCCTTCTTTACTGCTCTCCAAATATTTCTGTCAACTGCTCCCATTCAATATCTGTCACTTACTATGCCAGCGAAATTTTTTTTTTTTTTAATCCCCCCCCCCCCCCCCCCCCCCCCCCCCGAATCACATTCATTTACCGCACTTAGTAAAACGTCCTCCTGACCTCGCTTCCTGTCTTTTCCCGCTTCTTTGCCTTGCTCATCCCTTTTCCCCTCCGACCCC